CATAGGTAGTCCAAATGTTTGGAAATGCATGTGTGTATAATAGGAAGATGAATCCATGAGGATATCCATCCAGGACTTATGATCCAGGACCACAGCCACGACTCAAGATCCAGGACTCGCGATCCATGACACAGGACCGCAGGATCATCCATGACTCCGGATCCCGGCGTATATAGACACCAAAAAGAAATACATTTGGGGAAGCTGGGTTAATCGGAACATGAGAGTACACAGGTATAGACAGAGAGAAGGAAGAAGTAAGATGTCCCCCGACAAACTAAGCCTATATCAGCAAAACTAGGGGCTGAATCTAATCAGCCCTAACTATAAGCTTTATCAAAAAGGAAGGTCTTAAGCGCACTCTTAAAAACGGATAGGGTGTCTGCCGTCCGAACACAAACTGGAAGCTGATTCCACAAAAGTGGAGCTTGATAAGAAAAGGCTCTGGCTCCCATTGTACTTTTAGACACTCTAGGAACAACCAACAACCCTGCATTCTTGGAACGCAATGCCCTAGTAGGACAGTAGGGTATAATGAGTTCTTTAAGGTAAGATGGCGCCTGCCCATTAAGGGCTTTGTAGGCGAGAAGAAGAATTTTAAATTCTATCCTGTGTTCTATAGGGAGCCAGTGCTAAGGCAGCCAGAACAGGAGTAATCTGTGCAAGCTAATGCTTGCACCTGTGTTCAATTAGCTTGCAACTGGTGAACTCATTAAAGGTCTCTGATGATTATTTTTTTGTCTGAGGCCAATAAAGTAGGCTCTGTATATTGATCAAGTGGCATAAAATAAGAGGCTTGCAAATTGTCATGTAGGGTTATCTTGCTTTATTATGTCAATCCCTTTTTGAGATGTTAGGAGTTTTTTTGGCTTTATTTTTTATCTGTTCAACGTATTCTTTTATTCTATGTTATGTCTTGTGCAATAATGTGAATTGTGCAACATTGTGTTTTCAGTGTGTATGATTGTTTCCCGGTACCAACTATTACAAATGAAGTCACAAGAATGATAAATACCTAACATAATCAACGTTTTTTATCTGGACATGGCTAATATAACTGTCGGTGGCCAAACATTCAAAAGAAGCAACATAACTCTGCTCACATTTCAGGTTTTTTTATGAATCACTTAAGGATGAATAATATAATAAAACAAATCTTTATTTAAAAAGCTTCTTAACAATTACAATCATATTTCACAAAACAGATACAACTTCATTCATATTAAGACACTCATTAAGAATAATAAAATATATTTGTAATATCTTTCCAGTACTTTACATATAGATTAAAGGGTTGTGAGGATATAAACCAGAAGTACATCCAAAAAAAATTGAAAGAATACATGGAAATATACCAAGAATATGTATAAAACTTCAATAGCTAATCTGTATATTTAAAAGATTTGTATCACCTCAAGTATTCTTAATATAAGACATTCCCAATTTGTTTTCCCCCCAACGTGACAGGAAAGGGGAACCGAAAGAAAATCATTATTTCCTCCAAATCTTTATTGTATACAAGTTGTATTCAACTTTGCACAAGCCTGAGAGTCCAAAGCCCATTTAGTCCTCCAAGTCCCTCAGAGTTAAAATATAACAATAACCCCGATACTTGGTTCTTCACGATATTGTGAAATCCATACCGTTTTATTTGAACAAATCAATGAATGCAAGACAAGAGTCTGACTATTTTGATTTGTTTATCTACATTGACCCACAATAATTAGTTATATAACAATGCTTTCCCTTATTTAGAACACAACATATTTATCTTCACATGTAGGAAAGTCAATCAGACGGTAACGGGATGGTGAACATGCATCAGTGTCCCAGCCTGACTTGGACCAGAGAAGTCGTTTCATGGTTAGTTCCATAATTTGAAAGAAACAATAAAAAGGTGTTAAGGACACCCTGTAGGATAAAAGGTTTTGCTTCTATCAGTTGACATTTCACTTGAATAATTTAAGATCACACCTTTCATTTTTAGTTGTATGAAGGCTACTTTTATAATATAACATCTACATGTGTAGTTTGAACACTTATGACCTAGTGTTTGACCAAATATTCAGTAATGCTTACCTCCAGTTTAGAAAACCAAAAAGAGACAAATGCTGAAGGTTCATTGTTTTGATTTGCAGAACTGCCCAAAGTTGTAAATGCTCCATTTCAGAGTTGATGACTAAGAAATGGTTGCGCAATGATTCCACCATCTGGACAGAAAGTCACACTATGATAACACTTCCAATGCCAAACATTAATTGAATTTATAAATGTAGGAATTCAAAGTGTGCACTTTAAGTTAATCATTTGTCGGCACAATTTTTCTGTTTAAATTAAATGTCATGTTCTCAATATGGACTGTTCACTCATTCACAAACCAAATGAGACTTCTTGAAGAGCCTGGAATAAAAAGTATCTTGGGTAGTTGAAGGTTAACAAAAGCACAAACTGGAAAGTGTCTGTTCAAAACTTTTATTAGAATTGTTTAAGTACGGTAGCGTGGAGGAGGAAACGGAGGAAGCATTGGTATGGGCAAGTGAACATGGGGATGATGTTTTGGCTTTGTTGCTGGATAAAGAGGATTAAAGGGAGGATACATGGGCATATATCGTGGAAACGGCATCTGAGCGTATTGAGGCATCGGAGGGTAGTGAGGCATCGGAGGGTATTGAGGCATCGGAGGGTATTGAGGCATCGGAGGGTATTGAGGCACGGAGGGTATTGAGGCATTGGAGGCATCGGAGGGTATTGAGGCACCTCAGGGTATTGAGGCATCGAGGGTATTGAGGCACCTCAGGGTATTGAGGCGACCTCAGGGTATTGAGGCAACTGAGGGTATTGAGGTCATCTCGAGGGTATTGAGGCATCGTGAGGCAGTGCAGGAATTTTAAG